CCTTTGGTCTTTGTTTTCTACCTCATTTAGGTGTAAGTTTAGATTGTTTTTGAGATATTTTTCTTGTATTTTGAAGTAGACCTGAATTGCTGTGAAATATCCTCTTAGTATCATTTTTGCTGTCGCCCATAGATATTGGCCTATTATATTTTTATTTTCACTTATCTCCAAGTATTTAAAAATTTCTCTTTGATTTCTTCATTGTCCCAATAGTTGTTTGATAGCATACTGTTTAGCCTCCACATATCGGTGATTTTCCCAGCTTTCTTTTTAGAGTTGATTTCTAGTTTTATATCTTTGTGGTTGGAAAAGATGCTTGCTATGATTTTAATCTTTTGAAATTAATTGAGACTGGTATGTCTCCCAGCATATGGTCTGTCCCTGAGAATGTTCCACGTGCACTTGTATTCTGCTGCTTTTGAATGGAATGTTCTATGTATATCTGTTAGGTCTATCTGTTTCAATGTTTCATTTAAGGCTGATGTTTCCTTGTTGACTTTCTATCCACTGATGTAAGTGCCTTGCAAAATTTCCCTGCTGTTATTGTATTGCTGTTAATTTTTCACTTTAGGTATGTTAATAATTATTTTACATGTTTTGGTGCTCCTAAGTTAGGTGCATATGTTCATGCTAAGTCACTTCAGTCGTGTCTGACTCTTTGTGACCCTATGGACCGTAGCCCTCCAGGCCCCTCTGTCCACAGTATTTCCCAGGCAAGAATACTGGAGTGCGTTGCGATTTCCTCCTCCAGTAGATCTTCCCGATCCAGGGATCAAACCCGAGTTTCTTACATCTCCTGCATTGGCAGGCTGTTCCCCCGCACCCCCCCCCCCCCCGACTTTTACCACTAGTACCACCTGGGATACATATTAATACATTTATGTCTTGATGGAGTTTCCTAGAAGCAGCATCTAGTTGGGTCTTGTTTTCTAATCTAGCCAGACACTCTGTGTCTTCTGATTGGTGAATTCAATCCATTTATGTTTAGGGTGGCTACTGATCAATGAGGGTCTAGTACTGCCATTTTATCTTTCATTTTCTGACTGCTCTATGTCTCCAATTTTCCTTTGTGTTTCTGTCTTCTATTTTAGTTTGATGGTTTTCTACAATTTGTTTTCTCAGTTTCTCCTTTTTTATATTTTGCGTCTCTGCTCTAGATTTTTGTTTTGTGGTTACCATAAGCTTTGTATCCATGTCTCGCAGATAAAATGTCAATTTTCTCCTAATAGCATCATATCTTCATTTGTCTATATAAGTTCCGTAATTTACCCCTTATTATTTATGGGCTCAATCAAACTGAAATAGCTATAGTTGTTTTCAGTGCTTCCCCCTACTTTAACCTTTACGCTATAATTGTGTTTAACAACCTATTTGGATACAGAGTGGCAATTTTTTGGTTCTATCACCTGATCAGAGTTTTATTTACTTTTGTCTTTTGTTTCAGGTAGAAGAGCTCCTTTCAACATCCCTTGTGAGGCGAGTCTAATGGTGATGAACTCCCTCAGCTTTTGTTTGCCTGGGAAAGTCAACTTTGCTGCATATAATTTTTCGGTGGACAGTTTTTTATGTTTCAATATTTTGAATATGCCATTCCTCTCTCTCCTGGACTGTAGAGTTTCTGCTGAGAAATATGCTGATAGCCTGGTGGATATTCCTTTGTAGGTTACTGTCTTTATATCCCTGGTTGCCTTTAAAATTCTTTTTTAATTCTTGACTTTTGACAATTTTAATAGACTGTGTCTTGGAGAAGGTCTTTTTTTTTTTTAATTATTCACTTATTCGTCTGCACAGAGTCTTAGTTGCAGCATGCACGACCCAGTTTCTTGACCAGGGATTGAATCTGGACTCCGCGCACCGGGAGTAAGGAGTAACTGCTGGATCGCCAGGGAACGCCGTAGAACGTCTATTTTGCATTATTAAGTGCTGTATTAGCTTCGTGTGCTTATACATCCAGTTACTCCCCTAGGTTTGGGAAGTCCTCAGCTGTTACTTCTTCAAATAAGTTCTCCGCTCCCTTCTCCCTCTCTTCTCCTTTTGGGATATCCTTATCTTTATGTTGCCTTTTCTAAAGGAGTCAGGTAGTTCTCATAGAGTTTCTTCATCAAAAAATTTAGTTCTCTGTCCTTGTCTCCCTGAATCATTTCTAGATTTCTATCTTTGAATTCCATATGATCTGCTCTATTTCCAATGATTTCTAATGCACTGAGTTCTTCAGTTCCAGAATTTCTGTCTTATTCTATTTTAGAGTTTCAATCTCTTTGGTAAAATATTATTTCTATTTGTTGATATCCCTGAGCTCATTGAACTGCCTATCTGAATTGTTTTTTTTGTTTTGTTTTTTGTATGTTGAATTTTTTAAAATTAATTAATTAATTAATTTTACTTTACAACATTATATTGGTTTTGCCATACATTGACTTGAATCCACCATGGGTGTACGTGTGTTCCCCATCCTGAACCCCCCTCCCACCTCCCTCCCCATCCCATCCCTCTGGGTCATCCCAGTGCACCAGCCCCGAGCATCCTGTCTCATGCATGGAACCTGGACTGGCGATTCGTTTCACATATGATAGTTTACATGTTTCAATGCCATTCTCCCAAATCATCCCACCCTCACCCTCTCCCACAGAGTGCAAAGACTGTTCTATACATCTGTGTCTCTCTTGCTGTCTCGCATACAGGGTTATCGTTACCATCTTTCTAAATTCCATATATATGCGTTAGTATACTGTATCGGTGTTTTTCTTTCTAGCTTACTTCACTCTGTATAATAGGCTCCAGTTTCATCCACCTCATTAGAACTGATTCAAATGAATTCTTTTTAATGGCTGAGTAATATTCCATGGTGTATATGCACCACAGCTTTCTTATCCATTTGTCTGCTGATGGACATCTAGGTTGCTTCCATGTCCTGGCTATTATAAACAGTGCTGCGATGAACATTGGGGTGCATGTGTCTCTTTCAATTCTGGTTTCCTCGGTGTGTATACCCAGTAGTGGGATTGCTGGGTCATTTGGCAGTCTATTTCCAGTTTTTTAAGGAATCTCCACACTGTTCTCCATAGTGGCTGTACTAGTTTGCATTCCCACCAACAGTGTAAGAGGGTTTCCTTTTCTCCACACCCTCTCCTGCATTTATTGTTTGTAGACTTTTGGATAGCAGCCATTCTGACTGGCGTGTAATGGTACCTCGTTGTGGTTTTGATTTGCATTTCTCTGATAATGAGAGATGTTGAGCATCTTTTCATGTGTTTGTTAGCCATCTGTATGTCTTCTTTGGAAAAATGTCTGTTTAGTTCTTTGGCCCACTTTTTGATTGGGTCTTTTAGTTTTCTGGAATTGAGCTGCAGGAGTTGCTTGTGTATTTTTGAGATTAATTCTTTGTCTGTTGCTTCATTTGCTATTATTTTCTCCCATTCTGAGGGCTGTCTTTTCACGTTGTTTATAGTTTCTTTTGTTGTGTAGAAGCTTTTAATTTTAATTAGGTTCCATTTGTTTATTTTTCCTTTATTTCCAATATTCTGGGAGGGGGGTCACAGAGGGTCCTGCTGTGGTTTATGTTGGAGAGTGTTTTGCCTGTGTTTTCCTCTTGGAGTTTCATAGTTTCTGGTCTTATGTTTAGATCTTTAATCTATTTTGAGTTTATTTTTGTGTATGGTGTTAGAAAGTGTTCTAGTTTCATTCTTTTACCAGTGGTTGACCAGTTTTCCCAGCACCACTTGTTAAACAGATTGTCTTTTCTCCATTGTATATTCTTGCCTCCTTTGTCAAAGATAAGGCGTTCATAGGTGCATGGATTTATCTCTGGGCTTTCTATTTTGTTCCATTGATCTATATTTCTGTCTTTGTGCCAGTACCACACTGTCTTGATGCCTGTGGCTTTGTAGTAGAGACTGAAGTCAGGCAGGTTGATTCTTCCAGTTCCATTCTTCTTTCTCAAGATTGCTTTGGCTATTTGAGTTTTTTTTTTGTATTTCCATACAAATTGTGAAATTATTTGTTCTAGTTCTCTGAAAAATACCGTTGGTAGCTTGATAGGGATTGCATTGAATCTATAGATTACTTTGGGTAGTATACTCATTTTCACTATATTGATTCTTCGGATCCATGAGCATGGTATATTTCTCCATCTAATTGTGTCCTGTTTGATTTCTTTCACCAGTGTTTTATAGTTTTCTATATATAGGTCTTTTGTTTCTTTAGGTAGATATATTCCTAAGTATTTTATTCTTTTCGTTGCAATGGTGAATGGAATTGTTTTCTTAATTTCTCTTTCTGTTTTCTCATTGTTAGTGTATAGGAATGCAAGGGATTTCTGTGTGTTAATTTTATATCCTGCAAGTTTACTATGTTCATTGTTTAGCTCTAGTAATTTTCTGGTGGAGTCTTTAGGGTTTTCTGTGTAGAGGATCATGTCATCTGCAAACAGAGAGAGTTTCACTTCTTCTTTTCCTATCTGGATTCCTTTTATTTCTTTTTCTGCTCTGATTGCTGTGGCCAACACTTCCAAAACTGTGTTGAATAGGAGTGGTGAGAGTGGGCACCCTTGTCTTGTTCCTGACTTTAGGGGAAATGCTTTCAATTTTTCACCATTGAGGGTGATGCTTGCTGAGGGCTTTTCATATATGGCTTTTATTATGTTGAGGTATGTTCCTTCTATGCCTGCTTTCTGGAAGGTTTTATCATAAGTGGATGTTGAGTTTTGTCAAAGGCTTTCTCTGCCTCTGTTGAGTTTTCCTTTAACTTGCTGCGTTTCTTCCTGACAGCTGTCTGGCATTCTGTCAGTTAGATCACAGTCTTTCATGACTTTATGTCTGGTTGCTGGAGAATTGTCATTTTCTTTTTGTGATTCTGTGACCACTGTTTTTCATGGCGCCTTGATGTGCTACTGCTTTGCCAGTGCATTTGAAGTAGCGAATGTGTTTTTTCTTAAAAAACAAAGCTATTGGAGCCGCGCAGCGGTTCAACAGGCCGGCACTTAGAGGCCTTTCTCCCACTCTTCAGCAGACGGCGCTACAGCACAGGCTTTCGGTTTCCCTTCGCCGCGCTGCCTCGGGCCACGCGCGAGCCGCTGAGCCGGCGCTTTCCGCCCCTGCCTGCCGCCACTGCTTGCGCTCCCGCGGCGGCTGCGGCCTCGCCAGCTTCGGTGTCTGCGCTGCGTCGCCACTGCGGGCGCCGGGATGCTGCCCTCTGTGCCGCGTTCGCGGTCGCGGGCGCCACTCCGGCGGAGAGGGAAGGCTGGTGAGCCGAGGTTGCAGGTGCCCCTGCCGCATGCGGATTGTCAGCTTGTCCAGGCCACCGCCCCCGCCCCGACCCCTGTGCTGGGGGAGGCCAGAGCCGCGGTGGCAGCTCTGCCGCTGCTGCTGCGTTCTCGGGGGCTGTGTCTGGAGGGGCTGGGGGTGTGGGCACTGCCTCCATTGTTCCTGGGTTCTGCTTGTTCTGTGCCATTCCAATCCACCCACCGTGAGGTCCACAGACCTCTGGATCTCTCTGGCATCCTGGTGTGTCCGGCAGAGGAGCCTTCGTTGAGCTACGGATGTTTTACGAGCTGTAGATTGAAGGGAAGAGACCATGGGAGCATCATGAAGCCATGATGCTGATGTCACTATGGCGACAAATGGTTTTCAGCGACATTTAAAAACTTATTTATTTGTTTGGGTTGTACCAGGTCTTTGTTGCAGCATGCAGGATCTTTAGTTGCCGCATGTGGGATCGAATTCCTTGACCAGGGATCAAACCCGGGCCGCCTGCATTGGGAGTGTGGGGCCTTAGCCACTGGATCACCAGGGAAGTCCCTTGAATGTCATTTAAGAAAAGAATCCTCTAGCAATGCCTTGCACCTGCAAATCTCAGGAGGCGTACCTCAGATGACAGGTCCCAGTTCAGTTGACCCTGCTACACTTTCACTGCAAGCCAGTTTATGCTCTTATACTTCCAATCCTGGCTCCCCAATCATATTTTACATGCACAGAGGAATCATTTTGTTCTCTAAAGCCCAGCTCTACCTACTGTGATCTGTGGATCAGCAGCATTCCATAAAGAATTTTTAATCCACTTCACTCACAGAATTAAAAGAGCATTAACTTATGAATAGAATGAATAATGCTTCAAACATTTCTTGTGCTATTTTAAGAAGATGGTAATTGAAACAAGAGAGTCCTCAAGTGGTATTAAATCTTACAGTTAATAAAAGTTCTTCTAACTAAAGTAGCTGAAATTGTTTTTAGTTATTGCAAAATAAAAAAATATAATGCTATGTTAAAAGTCATAATGATGGAGTCAAACAAAATAATATCTTATACTTCGTTGACATTCACTGCTCTGCTTCATTGGATTATCTGCTCTGAGGATTCCATGGAGAATTTAAAAACATTTAAAAATGGTTTCTGTTCCTGTCCTACCCAATGATTATCTTCTTTATCACCTGGTCAACAGATGCTTACACAATCCAAACTCATTTCCGTGCCGCTGTAGGCAAAATGCAATTAGGAAAGAAAATTTACTGCTGAGCTCATCACAGAACAAGGTCCCCAATTACATATAAATGACTTTTGATTATTATCCAATACTTTGCATTCTCACATCAGCAGAGACAGTTGCAAACTGAGTTAAAAACATCATTTTATTTGCAAAGTTGGGATTATCTCTTATAGCCATGATACCTTCATTTCAGAGTTTTTAGAGTTCTCATATGGGTTTTTACAATCTGCAAAGATTCTGAAGAGGATTAAGTCTACAGGAGAAAAAGGATAAAATAATCAGTTTAAGAATAAGTATTTGATATGTGCTGTTCTTATTATCATCATCATGTATGTGTGTGCATTCTGATAAGGCTTGGCTAATTCGAAGCAGCTCAGATTTGACCTCTGGGTTGTAATTTGCTACCTACTATCCTTGAAGATGCTGAATCTGAAGCTCCAGTATTTTGGTCATCTGATGTGAACAGCCGACTCACTGGAGAAGTCCCTGATGCTGGGAAGGATTGAGGCAGAAGGAGAAGGGGGTGTCAAAGCATAGATGGCTGGATGGCATCACCGATGCAATGGACATGAACTTGGGCAAGCTTTGGGAGATGGTGAGGGACCAGGAGGCCTGGCATGCTGCTGTCCATGGGGTTGCAAAGAGTCAAACACGACTGGATGACTGAACAACAACATCCTTAAAGATACTCAGAGATGACCTGGCTGCCCAGGGGTACCATGGCCTGGTCTGCTCCTCTGTGAGATGAGCCCGTGTGGTTTCTGACCAAGTGGTAGGTGCAGAGGCTGGAAGGTGAGGGCTGTGCTGGAGTAGGCTGAGCCTTCCTCAGAAAAAGTATTTTTATTCCAGGGACTTCCCTGGTGATCCAGTGGTTAAGACTCCACGCTTCTACTGCAAGGGGCATAGATTCCATCCCTGGTTGGGGAAGTAAGATTCCTAGGCTGGGAATGGCCCAGGGTGGTAGTTTTTTAGGAATCCAAAGCATCTTGCATCTGCATATCTGAGTTCTCTTGATGAGGAAGTTTTTCATTTCCTCCTATAGCTGTAGCACCTCTGGCTCCTTGAGTCGTGCCCAGGCCCGCACCTCTCCAGCCTGAGGGGCCTTCTCCTTGGCTGGCTGTTGCTTCTGCTCCAGCTCCTTGCCCTGCTTCCAGGCTGTCAGCTCCGAGGACTCACCGCTGTCCTCCAGCATCTTGCACTCTGCCAGGATCTGGCCTGGGCTTGCTTCACCTTATCCTGCACCTTGGGCACTAACTTGGGCCCGAGGATATGCACAGTCTGGCAGTCCCGAGAGTCATGCTGGGTCCACACGGAGAAAAGTCCCCGATGCTGGGAAAGATGGAAGGCAAAAGGAGAACAGGGTGGCAGAGGATGAGATGTTTAGGTAGCATCACCGACTCAATGGACATGAGTTTGAGCAAACTCAGGGAGACGGTGGAGGACAGAGGAGCCTGGCGTGCATCGGACACAACTTAGGGACTGAGGAATGACAACCACATGGAGAGCACCACGTCCTGGTCTTGGGCTTGGCCTGTGGGGGTGTGTGGTGGGCCTTCCAGCCCTTCACCAGGAGCAGCAGTGGGGTACTCTCCCAGGTCGTATGTTATTATCATTTTTATGTCGCACCTCAAAGTAGGTATTACTGTTGCTATTTTATAGATGAGAAAACCAAGGATTTTGACCCAAGGGAGCCCTGGATGTGAATCCAGGCTTGGTTACAACCGCTGGCTCAGTGATCTTTTGCAAGCAGAATATCAATATTGAAGGCTGCTGTGCTCCAGGCAAGGTGATAGGAATACAATAACATTGAGATAATTCTTTCCCCTAAGAAGCTTAATTCCGGCCCCTAAGGCCTTAGGAAGCATCACTATGAACAAAGCTAGTGGAGGTGATGGAATTCTAGTTGAGCTATTTCAAATCCTAAAAGCTGATGCTGTGAAAGTGCTGCACTCAATATGCCAGCAAATTTGGAAAATTCAGCAGTGGCCACAGGACTGGAAAAGATCAGTTTTCATTCCAATCCCAAAGAAAGCCAATGCCAAAGAATATTCAAACTACCTCACAGTTGCACTCATTTCACGCTAGCAAAGTAATGCTTAAAATCCTCCAAGCCAGGCTTCAACAGTACATGAACCATGAACTTCTAGATGTTCAAGCTGGATTTAGAAAAGGCAGAGGAACCAGAGATCAAATTCCCAACATCTGTTGGATCATCAAAAAAGCAAGAGAAATACCAGAAGAACATCTACTTCTGCTTTATTGATTATGCCAAGCCTTTGACTGTGTGAATCACAACAAACTGTGGAAAATTCTTCAAGAGATGGGAATACCAGATTACCTGACCTGCCTCCTAAGAAATCTGTATGCAGGTCAAGAAGCAACAGTTAGAACTGGACATGGAACAAAAGACTGGTTCCAAATCAGAAAGGGAATATGTCAAGGCTGTATATTGTCACCATGCTTATTTAACTTGTGTGCAGAATACATCATGCAAAATGTCAGGCTAGATAAAGCACAAGCTGGAATCAAGACTGCCAGGAGAAATATCAATAACCTCAGGTCCACATGACTGAAGCGACTTAGCAGCAGCAGCAGCAGGTACACAGATGACAGCAGCCTCGCGGCAGAAAGTGAAGAACTAAAGAGCCTCTTGATGAAAGTGAAAGAGAAGAGTGAAAAAGCTGGCTTAAAACTCAACATTCAAAAAATGAAGATCATGGCATGCAGTCCCATCACTTCATGGCAAATAGATGGGGAGACAATGAAAACAGTGACAGACTATTTTCTTAGGCTCCAAAACCACTGCAGATGGTGACTGCTGCCATGAAATTAAAAGAGGCTTGCTCCTTGGAAGAAAAGCTATGACCAACCTAGACAGCATATTAAAAAGCAGAGACATTACTTTGTCAACAAAGGTCCATTTAGTCAAAGCTATGGTTTTTCCAGTAGTCATGTATGGGTGTGAGATTTGGACCATAAAGAAAACTGAGTGCTGAAGAATTGATGCTTTTGAAATGTGGTACTGGGAAAAACTCTTGAGAGTCCCTTGGACTGCAAGGTGATCAAACCAGTCAATTCTAAAGGAAATCAGTCCTGAATATTCATTGGAAGGGCTGATGCTGAAGCTAAAACTCCAATACTTTGGCCACCTGATGTGAAGAACTAACTCACTGGAAAAGATCCTGATGCTGGGAAAGATTGAAGGCAGAAGGAGAAGGGGCCGACAGAGGATGAGATGGTTGAATGGCATCACGGAGTTAATGGACATGAGTTTGAGTAAGCTCCGGGAGTTGGTGATGGACAGGGAAGCCTGTTGTGCTGCAGTCCATGGGGTCGCAAAGAGTTGGACACAACTGAGCGACTGAACTGAACTGAACTGAACTGAAGAAGCGTAATCTTTAAGTTAAGAAACTGCAGTTGGAAGTGAGGGAAAACCCAAACTGAAGTGACCTAAGGAAAAACAGGAAATAACCCATATGTCATTAAACTGCCTGAGGACAAGACTGATTTCAGATTGACCTAGGGCTTCAAGTGATATTCTATCTCTCCATTTTTTTGGCTCCACTTCATTTTTGGTTCATTCTGCAGCCTCCTGTTCTGCAATGACTTTTGGCATGAGTCTGTATTCAGGCTCCCCCGTCTAAGTGTCTATTAGCTCTCCTTGGGCACACGCCCATCCCTGGACCAAGCACTAAATGACTTTGCTCTAGATCAAGTGTGAAATCTCTGGGCTGGTTGGAGTCAATGCCCCCAGAAATATGGAACTTATTGTAAGAGATGGGACTGTCCCCCAGGGAGAAATTTATTAACCAGGAGAAAGATCTTATAGAAGCTGGGAGGCAGGGGAAAATGTTTACAACAGAGGTGAAAGCATTAAAGACTAGACATTTATATCCTACAAAGCACAAAATCCTGCAGAGACACATAAGAAGAATATCTGACTCAGTCCTGGCCAGGTCAGGGAAGGAGACCTGGGAAATAGTGCTTAAGCTGAAAGCTGAAAGACAAGTAGGGGTCACAGCCCATCCTGGGCTGGAGAGGCAAGCAGAGGTAGTCAGGCAAGTCCTGGATGGAGTCTGAATTTTTATCATCAAGGCATTTGGAATAGATGATTGCCTATTTTATCAGGAGGGCACTTGGAATGCAGATCACCTTCTGTATCATAAAGTATTTGTTTTGGAATCTACCCTAAATTTCCCCTCGTATTTTCATCTTAACTTTTCTCTGTTCCTATTTGCTATCTCAAGGCCAGCTAGGCACTCTGCCTGTTTTCTACATATCAGTTTTTCTGTGTTTTATTCCACATACATCTACTTGGATTAAGGAGCTCATTCTTAGCATCAGCTCTGGTGAATTGACCCAGGGAAATTTCTAGATTCCTAAACTGAATAACGGCCTTAACAAAGCATTGCTGCCCATAAAGGAATTTAATATTTGACAGAAGTGGCCTTTACATTTAAAGGTGATTTATTCATGAAAGGAGTTGGGATCACCTAGTGGCCATTGCACTCATCTCACATGCTAGTAAAGTAATGCTCAAAATTCTCCAAGTCAGACTTCAGCAATACATGAACCGAGAACTTCCAGATGTTCAAGCTGGTTTTAGAAAAGGCAGAGGAACCAGAGATCAAATTGCCAATATCTGCTGGATCATCGAAAAAGCAAGAGAGTTCCAGAAAAACATATATTTCTGCTTTATTGACTATGCCAAAGCCTTTGACTGTATGGATCACAATAAACTGTGGAAAATTCTGAAGGAGATGGGAATACCAGACCACCTGACCTGCCTCTTGAGAAACCTGTATGCAGGTCAGAAAGCAACAGTTAGAACTGGACATGGAACAAGAGACTGGTTCCAAATAGGGAAAGGAGTACGTCAAGGCTGTGTATTGTCAACTTGCTTATTTAACTTATATCCAGAGTACGTCATGAGAAACGGTGGGCTGGAAGAAGCACAAGCTGGAATCAAGATTGCCGGGAGAAATATCAGTAAACTCAGAGATGCAGATGACACCACCCTTATGGCAGAGAGTGAAGAGGAACTAAAAAGCCTCTTGATGAAAGTGAAAGAGGAGAGTGAAAAAATTGGCTTAAAGCTCAACATTCAGAAAACTAAGATCATGGCATCTGGTCCCATCACCTCATGGGAATAGATGGGGAGACAGTGGAAACAGTGTCAGACTTTATTTTTGGGGGGCTCCAAAATCACTGCAGATGATGATTGCAGCCATGAAATTAAAAGACACTTACTCCTTGGAAGGAAAGTTATGACCAACCTAGACAGCATATTAAAAAGCAGAGACATTACTTTGGCAACAAAGGTCCATCTGGTCAAGGCTATGGTTTTCCCATTGGTCACGTATGGATGTAAGAGTTGGATGGTGAAGAAAGCTGAGCGCCGAAAAATTGATGCTTTTGAACTGTGGTGTTGGAGAAGACTCTTGAGAGTCCCTTGGACTGCAAGGAGATCCAACCAGTCCATCCTAAAGGAGATCAGTCCTGGGTGTTCATTGGAAGGACTGATGCTGAAGCTGAAACTCCAATACTTTGGCCACCTCATGCAAAGTGTTGACTCATTAGAAAAGACCCTGATTCTGGGAGGGATTGGGGGCAGGAGGAGAAGGGGATGACAGAGGATGAGATGGCTGGATGGCATCACCGACTCGATGGGCATGAGTTTGAGTAAACTCCAGGAGTTGATGATGGACAGGGAGGCCTGGTGTGCTGTGATTCATGGGGTCGCAAAGAGTTGGACATGACTAAGCGACTGAACTGAACTGAACTGAACTGAACTGAGTGGCCATCAAGAAAAACAAAATATTAGATGCCTAACTTACACCAAATAAATACCAAATGGATTAATCCCTTACATATAAAAATCATAATACCAGATGAAAACTAGGGCGTTTCTTAAAACATAATCTTGTATGAACAATGACTTATAATATGAGACAAAACCTGTTGCTGCTTAGTCGCTCAGTCGTGTCCAACTCTATGACCCTGTGGACTCGAAGCTCCCAGGCTCCTCTGTCCATGGGGTTCTCCAGGCAAGAATACTGGAGTGGGTTGCCATGCCCTCAAATTCACATATTTATTAAAGCAATTCTGTAAGACAGAAATTATCATTAACAGAATCCAAAGACAAATGTCATACTAAGAAAAATACATGCAATTCAGATTATGTATTAAGAG